AGCAGCATTGCACGCACGGAGGTGTAGCGGCCTATAGCCCTTTTAAGAGCAATGCTAGAAGCATGAATAGTCCAGCTGTGCACAAGGAGTACGCGGCTAATGTAGCAATATCATTGGAACCAACGACTGAAGCTGTGTGTTCCCATGAAAAGCGTAAAATATTTTCTGAATCATATTGTGTCGGTTGCACGCAATCTGACCATTTGTCTCAATTACCTGCTTTGGTAGATGTTAAGTAGAGAAAACTCTGAGATGGGTACCTGGCGCTTAATTTCCAACTCTTTCTGGTGAGAAAGTGAGAGGGGGAAAAGGGAGAAGAGGAAGATAAAGGCAAGAGAGGGAAAAAGAAAAAAGGAAAAAAAGAAAGAGAAAGCGTGAGAGACAGAGAAAGAGGGAGAGAGTGAGAGAGATAGAGAAGAGAGAAGAGAAGAGAGAGAGAAGAGAAGAGAGAGAGAAGATAGATAGAGGAGAGAGAGAGAGAGAGAGAGAGAGAGAGAGAGAGAGAGAGAGAGAGAAGAGAGAGAGAGAGAGAGAGAGAGAGAGAGAGAGAGAGAGAGAGAGAGAGAGAGAGAGAGAGAGAGAGAGAGAGAGAGAGAGAGAGAGAGAGAGAGAGAGAGAGAAGAGATAGAGAGAGAGAGAGAGAGAGAGAGATGAGAGAGAGAGAGAGAGAGAGAGGAGAGAGAGAGAGAGAGAGGAGAGAGAAGAGAGAGAGAGAGAGAGAAGAGAGAGAGAGAGAGAGAGAGAGAGAGAGAGAGAGAGAGAGAGAGAGAGAGAGAGAGAGAGAGAGAAAAGGCAACAGAGAGATAGAGTACCAGGGCATAGACCGTGCTCTAGTGTTAAGCTATTGCATGCATCTGCGGCCGGAAGGGAAATGTTCCATTTCGTTGTCATTCGGTCTCACTCATAAAGATGATGTTCCTGGCCTGCAAACCTTATGTTTTATATGCAACTCATGCCGCATTTTACCAGCTGTCAAAGCACACGACCCAGAATGGGGTAGAGAGGTGCAAAGCTCGTTTTTGACCGCTCTTACACTTTTTTGACCGCTCTTACACTTTTTTTGACCGCTCTTACACTTTTTTTGACCGCTCTTACACTTTTTCATGAGGTACCGGTCTTGCATGTCAGGCTTCAAACTTGCCAAGCCGCGCCAGCGCATTGCTGCGTTACGATTAGCACCAGACAGCGGCCGTTATAAGCACCACATGTAAGACGCTGTTTTTCTCTCTCGAGAAGATTATGATGCGGAGATTTTACTGCGTCAATGCAGAGAACAGTGTGACATTCGGTGTACGACGGCGGGAAGCTCCCGTTTCGCAACATTAACGTTTCTATCCTGCAGCGCTACGCCACCGTGGCCATGGGCTATATTCAGTGGCCTGGTTGCGACAGGGATAAGTTCTCTGCCGCGTCGTGAGAGGTACGCTGGTCCGGAGACAGATCAGCTGTTTTTGGAGGGTGCAGCCGGAATTTGCGACGGGAGGGGGGCTACCATGATTTGCGACGGTGGGGTTCTTTCTTACAAGCGAGTCTCATCCTCATTGGCAACACCTTCGCATTGCGAACAGACTAACAAAACCCCCGGCACAAGCTAACAGTGCAGTACCAAGCGTATCAACGAGCTATCGGTGTTGATTTGCCCCGGTGCTTTCAACAATTGTTTCAGATGTGTACCGTATATATCCTCACGGCTATCCGCTAGTCTTGTTACTGAACTACGGTTGTTAGACTCTATATGTTCCCATACCCGCACGCCCTTTGATAAATATTATATTTAAAACCAAAATAGTTTTACTCGTCACTGGATTCCGGAAATACCTCCAGCGGTGTAGCGAAAAACTGCGCTTGAACGTGACTGGGAGGGGATTAAGCAGTGTCCCACTTTTAGGACATATTTCAAGAATATACGCTATTGAAATATTGGACCCAGTTAGGTCTAATGATAGCTCTAGGAACCGGCACTGCAGCACCGTCAAGACATAATAGAAATGTCAAATTCATGTCATTTTTTAGTCCAAATTACGCTGCCAAACGTCTTTTAACACCACCACGCCTCTTCACTGCGGTCGCGACCACCGTCATCACTTCTACTTGTGCAAATGAATTACGTCTGTGATTGGCTCAGCGGGCGTCAGGGGCCACTTACCGAGAAACACAATGGCTGCAGTTTGAACCAGTGCGTCACCATGAACCATGTGATACTCCCATTCTCAAAGTCAAAGTGCGCCTCGAAAAGTGCCACTGTGACAAACGCCATGGGGAGAAATCAAAAGGCGTATTAGAACGATTCGTTAAATTCGCCGAATAGAAGCCTCATGGTGGCATACTTGTTTAAGTATGTTGCAAATATTACAGAACACACATGTTGGAAAAATCAAGGCAATTAAATGTTTCACTTTCCTAGTGATGAGCAAAAAGTTTAGTAAGATGCGTCCCGCAGGAGCGGCCTATTCAAATCCAGATTCTGAGCTATTCAGTAGGATTTCGAGAGAGCTGGTATTACCGATCAAATCGGACGTGGCTGATCTAACAGCAGTCCTTACACATCCACAGTACCGTTTGGTCATGCGGATTTTATCAATGTTTCCATTCTGCTTTTTCTACCCACTTGGCGAATGTTTTAATGAAACAGCGAAATGCTCGAGGTATGTCTATTATTTATTCATTAACTGCGCAGGTACGTGGAGAGGCGTTCGTCGCTAATCTGGCAAAAAATGTGCCTGGATCACTTCATTCTGAATTTTAACAAAAATCCGACTTCGTCATTCTTTAAACTGCAGGTAGGTACTTACATTATGATTAATGTGCACCTGTAACTTAAGTGCACCCTCTAACGGAATCATTAAGAATGATGACCTATCGCACGATTATACCACACAGCAGGCACCGGGACTCACACGTAAACACATCCTCACAATGTGGGAATGATAAAACGTGTCAAATGCGGAACATGCAGCGTCCATGCCAAAAACCGGACCCGAAAACTTTTTCGGAACTGGCATGACTGATCAATTCGTAGGAATCTGATCTAACAATAAGCAAAGAGTACAAACAGATGGCGTACTCCCTTTAGGCAGCATGACCCACCTCTTGGCTGCGGCATGTCTATGAGCAAATTTTGCATGGCGGCGGGTAGATCGGAGCCTCGGCCCAGACGCACGTCAGGGCCCGCTCTCCGGCTTTCTGAGACCCATGTTTGCCCCGTATCCTGCTTTAAACCGATGAAATCGGTTACAGAGTATATCCCAGATTCGTATTCAACGCTGGTGATCCGTTTGCTATTTGAAGGTGTTGGACTCATCAGTTGGTTTGATAGGCGAGCTTCTTGAAACAGTGGGTGGGCCAGCCCATTCTGAGAACTGTGAAAGACACTCCACCTGCGCGGCACACCACTCTACGAACCCCGCCCCATTGTGACTTGACGCTCCTCCCCCTGACCTCGGCTGCCCGGGCCCGGCAGGCGAGACGGTGCGACATCTGGTGACCAAGAACGACCGCGTCCTACTACAGGAGGTGCGGCCCGAGCTCGAGGCCAAGGTGGCCGAGCTGATGTCTCGCCTCGTCAACCAGGTGCTCACCGTTCTGCCCGTGGACGCCATAGTGGACCGAACGCCACAGGCCAGCCACTTATCACAGGCGACGCTGCCGGCGGCGCGACCCGGCACAGATGGCAGCACTGTTTCGCTGCCGGCAGTATAATGCAGACCGGGGCTCGGCCGCGCCGTGCAGGCTTGGGGCCAAGATTGGTTGGGACAAGATCTGAGGATTTGGAGTCAGAATGTGTTTTACGATCAACTATAAACGTTCAATAAACAGTCGGACACCGAAAGTAGTACACGAATGCCGGTCGAAATAGCCGCGAATTAGTTTTGACCAGCCAAGTGCTCAATCTTGGGTCAACCAACCACAAATTGAGCATTCCTAAAATCAAAGGGACAGAGAGACTCATGACTGATTACCGTAAGTTCAAGTGTCAGGGAACCAACCGCGTCGTATGCTGGTGCATCCCTGGTTAAACGAGCCTCCAAAGGGCGTGCTGAACAGCGCTTAAGTTTCAGAGACGCAGCCACCGGCAAAACTTTGAGTATCATGGCAACAAAGATGCCATGGTACTCAAAGCGTCTCGTAGGCTCGCTGTTTCAGATCCGCAAACGCACGTGACTGGCAGCATGCTGCGTGATATACAATTAGTAAAAAATCCATCGGTGTATGAAATTGAAAATGTGTGCGAACTGGACCATACCCATCCAAATATTTTGACTCACCCGATCAAATATTCGAATATCGAAACCGAAGCAAACGTTTCTGCCTCACCAGCGTCACCGCTGGCGGGGCAGAACCGCCGTTATTTGCAGCTGCAGCAGTCAGATCTGCCCTCCGCGCTCATCCAATGCCCCAATCAGTCCGCTCCGCCCCCTCCCCCCCGCCATTTGACTCCCGACGCTGTAATACATCGGTCCATACTTTTTTTGCGAAAACCATCCATGATTAATGCCTCTCAGGAGCCTGTCTCCCTGTTCATGCCTGTAACTATGCCCTCCCTGTTCTCCCTGTCTCCCTACTCATGTCAGTAATATCGGCCCAAACAGCCGAATGAGGATGGATGACCGTCGGATTACCCAGTTCACCCTGATCACGGTAACTCGTGCGAATTAACGTCACCCGCCGAGTGGGGCTGTGATCGAAGGCTTCCCAACACGATTGCCAGAGCTAAGCATTTCCCTGTCCTGTTGACGACCACTGGCCTGGTCAGGTCTGTCCTCGAAAACCGCTTGGGCCTCGTGGGTGCTGAGCACTGGAAGGAACTGAACACGGCTGTACCGGCCCAGCCAATCGGATGATATCTTACGATAGCAAATGCATGAATTACCTTGTAGCTCTACGATAGAAGAAACAAGTTATAATAACCTCCAGTCAAAAGGTAGACGGACTATTTCGCGGTTTATCGTCTTACCAACCAACTCGTCCCTCGCATCTGCAGCCGCCCACAAACAAACGACTCCACCGAGAACCGCGCTTTGTACGCAGAGTTTGTGCTATATTACAAACTGATACACACATAACCAAGCTATAATACACAAAACTGCGAACGGTTGGGGGAGCTCCTTAGCTAGTCACACGACGAACATGAAACCGTCTGGTCCCCAATGGTAAGATGACCCCCGGGCCAGGACTCCTGTAAAAACGGGCGGCCCAGCGGGCGTCCGCGCCCAGTCGAGCGGCGAGATGGCAGCGATGGCGGCGGTGGCGACGCGGCGGCGGCGGCGGCGCGGCGATGCTCCGACGCCCGAGGTATCCAGGACGCCCGGCCCGCGCGCACTACACACTACATCACATGGCGCGCGGCCGGCCGGCGGCCCGCCGGAGCGCGCACGCGCGCGCGCGCGCGTGCGCGAGAGCAAATAAATATGGAATGCTGTTGGCGAAGGCTGGTGAAGCGGGCGCCCGACCGCGACCGGCACCGCCACCGAAAGCGGTGAGGACATCCGCGCCCCTCCTGAGTCAAGCTGTCGCGGTCAGTCGGTTAAGATTGCACAGCGGAGATTACACCGGCGCGCCGCGGCGCCCGACAAAACGCGTCAAAATGCAGATCAAACGTTAGCGGCGCGGCCGGTTCACATTGCACATTCGGATCTGATGAGAGAGTAGCCGCGGGCCCGCCGCCCGGGTCTGAACACAGACCGGGGCGGCGGCGGCGGCGGCGGCGGCGGGGCGGCCGCACGCTTTGTGCCCCCCTGGCGCTAAGCTGCGCGTCGTGCCGCGGCCGACGGCACAACAAAACATACGGAGCTTGTGCTCAAATCACAACCGGCGCCGCGAGGCACGCCAGGCGGCCAGCGGGCCGCCGGCCCTAGGTCTGTATGGCCTGGTGCAGCTCGGTGTGAATGCCCTGCAGCTCGGCGATCTTGTCGCCCAGCTGCATGTTGAGCGTGTCGAGCACCTTGTGCTGCGACTCCTGCGCCGAGAGCGCCATCTCCAGCTGGTCCTGCAGTCGCGACAGCTGCCCGCGCAGCTGCTCGTTCTCCTGGTCCAGCGCCTGCGTGGCGCGGCGCGCGTCAGATGGGGCGCGGCGGCGTCACGTGGGGCGGTACGGCATCACGTGGAGCGGTACAATACGGGACCACGCGGGCGAAGCCTAGAGCGACCATCCACAGCGACCGGACATCCTGTCCTTCACGTCTTGAAAATAGCACCGACCTTTACGAACCGGTGCGCCAAGTGACCTGAACGTGCCAGCAAAGGACACTTGTGAACTCCAGCCGCGTCCAAAAACCGCTAAACGGCAAGCAGCCAGCCGCCGGACCGGAACGACAGTCCAGCGTGTCTGTTGCGCCGCCATCCGTCCCGCTGGGCGGCCGGCGCCCGACTTCTCACCTTGAGACCATCGGCCTGCGCCTTGGCGGCCGGGTCGGCCAGCGAGGCGGCCAGCTTGCGGTTCTCCTCGTCCTTCCGCTTGCCGTCCGTCTCCAGCTTGTCGGCGCGCGCGCGCAGCTGGTGCAGCTCCCGCGAGAGCTCGGCCGTGTCGCCGCCGCGGCCGGCCTCCAGCTCCAGCACGCGGCCCCGCAGGCGGCCGTTCTCCTCCTGCCGGCGGCGGCGGCGGGGCGCGCCGAGTGTCAGCGGCGCCGAGGGGCGCGAGCGGCCGCCCGGCGCGTCATCCCATCAGAAGGGGGAGTCGCTCGGTCACGGTGTGCCAGCCGGGCCTGACAGCTGAGTCAGCACAGTCGACAGGTACGTCCCTCGCGCCTCAGGTCGGCTATCCCGTCCGATGGGCGCACCGTCCCAGACGCGTGCGTCACAAGTTTGCTTCACTGCTCACGTCGGCAGACGGACGGATTTGGGATGAAACAACCGATGCAGAACCAAAACAAGGCGAAAAATCGAGGAGATGTGTGGATAGAGCCTGGGAGAACAGACCACCATTCGGACAAAGGGGGCGAGGGGATACAGCCATACAACCGCAACACAGCCAGGGACAGGAAGAAGGACGGCGTAGCCAGGCTGACCTTGTAGCTCTGTAGCTGCAGCTTCCACTCCTCCACGTTCGCCGTGCTCTCCTGCAGGGCCGCCGTCAGTCGGGCGTTATTGGTCTTCAGCGTCGTTAGCTCCACCTCCCACTTCTTGGCGTTGGCCGAGCTGAAACGGACCGAGCCACACTGCTGCAGATTCTGATGCTGTCATTCACGGTCCACAGCTCCACAGCGGCTGACATGACCGTCGAAGCCGACACAGTCGGGCACGGACACAGCTTGAACGCAACGCCAGCCGTGCACAAGCTGGAACGGTTGTGCACAAAGGTGCAACGTGGTACTCCGAGCTGACCAACACAAGCCATTCCGCGCCATTCCGTGCCGCCTATGGGTTTAGGCGGCTGCAGACAGCACGCCGCGCCATACGCGCCCCGGCCGTTAGCACAGCCAGCCAAAGTTTGGTTACGGATAACTCCTTGAATCAGTGAGCCCAGAGTAAAGGGATCGAAACCGTAGTATTCATCAACACCAATACCACGTAAAACGTGACTAGAAAATTAGCAAGTCGGTGGATTTTCGGTGGAATTAGCAGAAAATTACGTCGGTGGATTTCCAGGCAGACAAGTGCGTAAATGTCGCACTGTCCTCCGCCCACCACGTCCGTCAGCGCAGGGAGCCGGACAGCCGCGCAGGTTGTTGTTGTTGTTGATTAGTGTTTTCGGGCGCGCCGACTGCAGCGGTCATTTGGCGCCCATAACGATTTTTGTTTTACCTAACTAATGAACCGTGTAAAGAGTCCCGAAGTTGATATGATTAAGGAATAAAAAGACCCGTTTAGATTCAAGAAGGCGCGAGTTGTCTCCTAAAATGTCACAGAGCGTCAAGGGCGAGTCACGTTGACCAAAGATTCGTCGACGCTCTTCTCTGAGGCGCGGACATGATGTAAGCACATGACGAACGGTGAGAACAGCACCACATCGATGACAGACAGGTCTTTCGGCTCCTTACAACAAATAACCGTGAGCCGCGTACGTGTGTCCGATACGTAGTCTGCAGAGGATCACCTCTTCTCGCCTCATTTTGCGGAAACACGAAAACCACTGACCCAGCTTGGGTTTTATTGCTCTGAGCTTATTTTCAGTTGTTACATCCCAACAACGCTGCCATTCATTCTGCAGAAAGGTTTTTATTGCAGGGTAAAAATCTCTGGCAGGGATAGAGAGGGAGCGTTCACACGGAGCCAGCGCTGCTCGCCTTGCAGACGCATCAGCCACCTCGTTCCGGCGATTCCAATGTGACTAGGGATCCAACACAACATAACTTCCTTTCGGGCCTGATCCAGTTGAGTCAAACGTCCTAAAATATCCTGTACGAGGGGACATGATGGATAAAAAGACCTAAGACTAAGAACACTGCTAAGAGAGTCTGTCAAAATCAGATGTGAAGGTTCGTCACTGACTTCAATGAAACACAACGCCTTGGTGATCGCTACCAAATCCGATGTGAACACCGACGCATGTGGAGGCAAGGAAAACGACCACAGGCAGCGGCGGCCCCAGAGCCGCCGCTAGCCAGCTACCGTCCGGCCGCCACCCGGCCTGTCGCCTCGTATATCGCGCGGCGGCCGGCAGCCGTCGTCCGGCGGCGGTGCGGCGCGGCCGGCCGGGCTCCCGCGCCGCTGAGAGGTCAACACCGGCCGGGCTCCCGCGCCGCTGAGAGGCCAACACCGGCCGGGCTCCCGCGCCGCTGAGAGGTCAACACCGGCCGGGCCGACGGCCAGCTACACTGTGCGTGTTCACGCCGGATTCTAGGATCGACAGCGCGCGTCGTCTCACTTCTTTCGAGTACAGCGCAGCAGTAACATCATGCGGATAAAGTGACAACTGAAACAGTACCGGCGAAAGCGAACTGGAAACAAATATTATTACGTGTATACATATATATGTTATGGGTTACGCGACAGGAAAGTAAGCGTGCCATCTGAGACAAATGTTAACGGCAAACTGGAGACAAATGTTGCTTTTAAGATACGTTATCGATTAGGCGACAGGAAACCACGCTTTTTATCTGAGCCGGTCAGCCAGTCAGCCAATCACGTATCTCGCTGACGGTAACGCATGCACGGTACGACTTACTAGACGGTGAACCTTATAGCTTTCAAGTTAGACATGGATAAAACGAGACTCAGCTGAAGAACATGCTGAGACGCAACGCCGAACTTTAACAAAGGACAATGCAAACTACTGTTCTTTTTGGTGTCAACAAACAAAGGACAATGCAAACTACTGTTCTTTTTGGTGTCGACACTTCTGGGTCCTTCAAGCTAATTTGCATAAGACACGGCGAAAAGAACGGCATGAATTTTAGGTACGGCGTCGCCTTGCGAGCCAGACTTCCACTCCATCGCCACGCTGCGAGCTCCGGCCGGTAGCCGCGCGCGCGGTGTCACCCGCCTCACAGCAGACCTGCCTGCCGCCCGCAGGACAGGAGCACATTGGGACGTGTCAGGCGGTCTGACGCAGGGTCCCGGCACGCCGCAGCCGCAGCCGCAGCCGCAGCCGCAGCTGTGGCGGAGCACGGGGAGAGAACGTCAGCCGACAGCAGGCGCCGCCGGGCGTCACGGCGGCGGTGACGCGGCGGAGCGGCGCGCGCGCGCCGGCACGCCTCCCTCCCGGCACACGAGCCGGGGGAGCTGCGAGTGATCGGAGCTGAATGTGCCGCGCGGGGACAGACTCCCCGCCGGCCGCACGCCGCTGCAGTCTCGACACGTCGGCTGGGGGGCGAGCGCGCGGTGTGTGGTAAACCGGCCGAAAACAGGACTCAGAACGGAGATTTCCCTGGATCCGATGCACGTCATGGCCGAAGTTTGCCGGTTGGCCGCAGCTAGCTGCACAGCCCGGGGAACAAGCAGCGTCAGAGGGCAGCCCATAACTGCATAGCCAACTACACCCACGCCACTGCGAGCGAATCGCCAGCTACAGCCCCGAGTAGCGTTCGGTACCATGGCCGCGCGAAGGACCAGCGCTGACCTGCCCTGTCCTCCTGGAGCGCCGCCTCCCTGTCCGCCTGCAGCGCTGCTCAAGCGCGCAACTCGCCGCCCTGTCCCCTGGCGCGCCGCCTCCCTGTCCCCCTGGAGCGCTGCCTCCCTGTCCCCCTGGAGCGTCGCCTCCCTGTCCGCCTGCAGCGCCGTTCGAGCGCGCAACTCGCCGCCCTGTCCCCCTGGAGCGCCGCCTCCTGTCCCCCTGGAGCGCAGCCTCCCGGTGCCCTGCAGCGCCGCTCGAGCGCGCAACTCGCCGCCCTGTCCCCCTGGAGCGCCGCCTCCCTGTCCCCCAGGAGCGCCGCTCGGGCGCGCGCGCCGACCGCCCGAGCGGGGCGACTCGTAGATTATGCATAAGGAGTGGCTCGGTGGAGGCTTCGTCTCGGATAATGCCCGGCAGGGAGCGCTCAGTCGGCTGCATAACGAGCCGGCGAAGCACAACAATGACTGGGAATCCCTCCAGAGTGAAATGGAGTGATTCCAGCAGCACCTTGCGCTCGTATTCATCATTCGTCACCCCAGCAGCACTACAAACGCGTGGAAGAAACAAAGGAGACCCGTCTTCAACCGGACCGGAATAAGCAAGAATAACAACAACCGCAACAAGACGGAACTGGTCTCTTGAAAAGCAAAAGACACAGGTCTCAGCACGGAGAAGAGCGCTTTTGCACGGTTAGCTGTCGGGCGACGGCGAGTGGGCGGTTGTAAGACCGCTATCAATCGCAAAACTCCACCTAAATGCTAAGGAGAATGTTTCCCGCAACAAAACACAAACAAAAACCTTGCAATGGCTTACGTTGTCGATGAAGAGTCTGACAACGGTTAAAAAACGGGGGGGGGGGGGGCGCTACACAGAATGGTGTAATGAAGTCGCACTCCGAAGTCCAAACCTCAGCCAGCTCTTCTATCAGTCTATAAATGTTGAACGAAGAAAATGGCATAATAGCGCGATGCCCTCCGTGACATTGAGCTATCATACACAAGCGAGCTATCATACACGAGCTGTGTCGCCATGAGCTACTAAACGCTGCCAGCAGGTCCGCAGCTCATTTGGAGCCAAGCATAATAACCTATGATTCAATGGGGAATATGTGATCGTGCCACAAAAGACGAACCGATGGTCTCAGCTGCCCAGAGTACAGGCCACAGCTCTTATGCTCACGCTACTTGACATTGCTCAATCTGTTTGCTTCACGTGAAATATTAACCATGTTTGCAGCTTAGTACACAGGCGGACGGACTCATGCACGGGTTTGGGCCGGTCGCACGTGGACTCGAACTCCTGCAGGGTCCTGTCACACTTTGGGACTCGGACACAAACGGATCCACTGTTGACAGATGGATTAGACTCAACCCAACACTCGCTTACTCGAAAAACGTGACCTCAGCCCGAGACTCAGACCCGAAACACGTCCACAAGTCGGACACGGAATCAGCCCGGACGGCCTGCTCAGTCTGCCGCCTGCATGGCGGGCTCGGTCTCAGGGTCCTGGTTCAGACTAATCCCATCGTCTGTGCATTACCAATACATTATTCCCTGACAGGAAGTTCATGGCGTCAAACTCACAACGGGAAAGCCGCCACTATTGACAATGCACACAAAACAAACCCCGTTCTACCGGGCATTTAGTGTATTTGCTATACGGCACTCTTACTGGTGAGCAATGTACTTGTGATCTGTCACTCTTACTGATCAGTGGAGCATTTATGACACTCTTACTGATGAGCGGTGCATCTGTTGTCTGGCGCTCTTACTGATGAGCGGTGTATCTGTTGTCTGGCACTCTTACTGATGAGCGGTGTATCTGTTGTCTGGCACTCTTACTGATGAGCGGTGTATCTGTTACCTGGCACTCTTACTGATGAGCGGTGTATCTGTTACCTGGCACTCTTACTGATGAGCGGTGTATCTGTTATCAGGCACTCTTACTGATGAGCCCGGAACATGGCGTTGTCGTGTAATGCACATGCCGATCAGGAGCAGAGCCCGGATAGGACAGGAGGCGAGCAGGAAGGATCCTGAAACACGGGGGACTATTTCAGGCAAATACGTTGAATACCATTGTGATCTTACTTTTGGGGGAGGAGGAATTGGATCATTGAGCACCAGCATTCAGGTTGAGCACGGCACCCAGAAAGACGCACACGTGAGCGACGATGAGGCGCATGGTCGCCTTTAATTAACGGCCGTCCGAGCGAAGCCAAACGGTGCGCAGTGGCGCGTCATCAGCGTGGGTCAAAACCGGACAGCAGTGAGCGGCCGAGATGGGCGCGGATGAAAAGTTATCTCCACATGGTGAAATGATGAGGTGATTCCTCTGCTGATACTGTGGAGATTCTCTGGCGCATTATTCAGCGCACATGCTTGGCATCTTAGACCTGACAACCGGCATATATTGCATTCGTCAGGCAACTCAAGCATACTTCAAAACACCCAGCCCCCATCAGCGTGTGCGCTAGTGAAGTTCCCTTCCAAGTGTCTGCACCTGTACCTCTGCGCTCCCGACGTGAGGGGACCCCTCCTCGCACCTGCGCCGGCCTCGGCCCGCAGCGCCAGCGCCGCCCCTGTGCACTGACCTCTGCGCCAGCGCCAGCTTGAGCCGGTCATTCTCGTACTTGAGCTGCGCCTCGCTGGAGGAGGCCGCCTGGCCGGCCGGCTTCTCGCCCCCCTTCAGCTCGTGCTTGGGGCTCTCTGACGGCTGCTGCCGGCACAGCGGACGTGCGCGGCGTCAGCACGACACGGCCCGCAACGCAGCCGGCGCCGCCACTCAGCCGGCCCCACGTGGCCCCACGTGCGACACGAGCGACACGTGACCGCCGACAGGCCACGTGCTCCGGCGGCTCGCCACGGACGTCACGCGGCTCGACGAATGGCAGGCCCGACATGAGACCGCGGACACGGCGCGTGCCTGGCAGAATCGCCGGGAAGAGGCACGTGACGCACGTGATGCACATATCTCCATACCCGTGACACACATGGCATGTGAACACAATCGGACACCGCATCATCAACACAGCGGGTTAGGATTAGTCCACAAAAACACGAAGCATGCCCAGAGCATAACCGTGGAAAGATCATGCCAAGACGACGAAATACAGACAAAAATCGAAGAGCTGTCCAGAACAATGCAGGGCACAAGCCAACGGCGGCCGCAACCCGCCGCACTAACGACGAAAAGTCACAATGCATCGTGTGCCAGCACCGGTCACCGGGCCTTCCCGCTCCAGACGCAGACAACGCGGGGAGAACCCCTCGCACCCGCCGCACGAGCCAAACGCCCAGTGCGCAGTACCAGAGGGGAAGCATATGGTGACACAGTCAGCCGACAGTGGGAGGCGCCCCTACGTCTACCAACCACCAGGCGGCGCCCCGGCGGAGGGCGGAGCGGCGCAGGGCGGCGTCCGGGGCCGCCGCGCCCGCCGGCCTCCAGAAGCGCGGACGCCGTGCGGACCGAGGGGAGAGAGGAGAGGGAGAGAGAGGGCGAGACAGACAGCCGCCTGAAAACCAACCACCGCCCGAGACCGAGGCAACTCCACATGCAGCTACCGTCCGGCGCGTCCGACGCGGGCCGCGTCTGCGCGTGCAGAGCTGGGGGCCGTACCCGACTCCTGCCGTCGGTGCCGATACTGTGCGGAGGGGGGGGGGAATGACGTCGATGATGATGTGCGTCTGAAGAGCATCAGCTGCCGCGGCAATCTGATGCTCTGCGGACGACGTAATTACTTGGTGACGTCCCGCTACGTTGCGATGAGCATATTACATGAGGCGCAAGAACAGCTGCCTCTGCCACCGATCCGGCACTGTGCGGGGAAGAGGGAATACCTGCAGTGCTGCCACCGGTCCGGTGTCGCGCAGGGAAGTAGAGACTACCTGCCGCTGGCGCCACGCCAGCTATCGTGCAGGGATGAAGGAGAAAGAGCACACAACTGCTGCTGCCACCGGGTCCGACACGACCACGCCGTCACGTGCAGGAGGGACAAGCTGCGGGTACGTCGAGGGCGGCCGAGGGAGAGAGCGCTGGGAAGAGTCGGACGCCGCCGCGCGTTACCTGCAGTCCGGACAGACTGTGGCTGCGCTGGTGCAGGGCCGGGCCCTGTTTCGGATCGGGCTCGCCGGCCGGCGGCGGAGGCAGGTACGAGTCCACCTACAGGTCAGCACGGGTCAGTCCACCGCACGGCCGGCGCCGGCGCGCCCATCCCCGCTCCGCGCACCACAAGTCACCGCCGCCGGCGCCGCCGGGCAATGGCGCGGAAGCGCATCACACGGCCGGGCCGCCACTTCCGCCGCTGCCGCCGCCGTCCGTCCGACGACGCCGACTGCCCCGGCCGGCCGGCGGCCCGCGCTCGCCGCGCGGCGACGGCTTCAGCACCGGCCCGCGACCGCCGCCCGACCGGTCGTCACGCGGCGACACGGGCCGCGGCCGGCCGGACCGAGGCGCCAGCCGGCCGCGCATCCGCCGGCCGGCCAGACCGCCGGCCGCCGAGACCCGGCCGGCCGCCTAAGGTCCGCGCGAGCCCGCTCACCTGGTCCATTTTGACGGCGCGCGCGATGACGGGCGACGCGTTGGCGCTGGTGGTGGGCGTCGAGCCGGTGCCGTTGGTGGCTGAGCCGGCCGGCGCCTGGCGAGCAGCCTCTTTGATCTCTTGGAACTTCTCGATGAACTGCAACAGCCCCGCGCCGACCGCCGTCAGGGCGGCGATGGGCGGGGCGCCAGCATCACACGGCACCGGGCGGCCAGAGTCGGACGGTCGTCCCTATCCCGCCCACGCGCGATCACGCGCCGCGACCCGTGACGGAAGGCGGCTGGTCTCGTGTACAGTGCCACACCGCGGCGCACGTGTCAGGTCGGGTCGTGCTAGAACTTCAGTCACGGAATGTGATGCCGTGGAGGTGGGTTGAAACGCTTTAGGATGCCACGGGTGTCTGAAGCCACGCTACTCTCGTTGCGTAGTCTCGCTGCGAGGTTGGGACATCCAAAGATGACGGTGTCCGCGCGCTTACAAAGCTGTATCGTGTGAAACCCGCACAACGGGACAATCTTAACGTCGCCGTGTTGGTCCGCGTGCTGCGACTACTTCGTCGTGGACTCGTGTCGCACTCGCATTTAGAGACTAGCATAACGTCCAAAATGCTCATTTCTTCAGCAGTGCTCGCATATTACCTTTAAAAGTCGCACACATTACGAAAAAGCGAAACTCATGCCTTGCTCTTAAAACGTTACAGGAGTGGCGAAAGATCTCTGCGCCACAGAGACGCCGCGGGGTTGGCCCGTGACGATGATGACGTCAAGGTTCCGCCCACCGAGTACCCAAGGGCCGTCTCCCTCCAACCACCATGCCCCAACCATGTACTCAACTCCGACCGCGGCCGTGCATTTACAGCAGGCCTTATTGCCAGCGCTCTTACGAGCTCATCTGTCCGTCCCGCTTTAGGAGGCTGACGGCCGACATGGATCTACCAGCTCCGACCACTGGCGGCCGAAACCCACCACCAGCGCACTGCACCGCGGCACAAGATCAGTCCCCCCTCACTCTCCCACCCCTCCCCCACTTTTGTCTGTCCGTCCGTCCGTCCGCCCGTCCGTGGACGTCCCGTTCGTTCGTTCGTTCGTTCGTTCGTTCGTTCGTTCGTTCGTTCGTTCGCTCGTTCGTTCGTTCATTCGTTCGTTCGTTCGTTCATTCGTTCGTTCGTTCGTTCGTTCGTTCGTTCGTTCGTTCGTTCGTTCGTTCGTTCGTTCGTTCGTTCGTTCGTTCGTTCGTTCGTTCGTTCGTTCGTTCGTTCGTTCGTTCGTTCCTTTGTTCGCTCGCTCATCCGCGCTGCCGCCCGCCCGCCTCGGCCGGCGCGGCGTGGCGCAGGACTGCCGTACCTTATTAAGCTCAGCTTCCGTGCCGAAGCCGAGGCCGTAGACCGTGTTGGCGCGCACGTCCGACCACTGGCCGAACTTCTGCGACGTCTTGGTGAACGTCATGTTGGGCGTGATGGTGGAGTTGATGACGGCCTGCGGGCGGAGGCGGCGCGTGAGGCTGGCCCAGCGAGACGGGCCGCACTGTCAACGGCGCGGCACGCGATCTCCCGGCACGCGGCCCGCCGCTCCCAGCGGGCCCGACCGGCCACCTCCGGACCAACCGAGCGGCACGTCCGGTCGCGGTCACGCTCGCCGTCGGCACCGACGGGGGGTCCAGGGCGCCCTCCTCGTCACACGAGCCTGTGGAAGTGAGACGGCGAGGGCATCGGTCGGGGTACAGCGGCATGCCTGGCGTCCCCGGCGGCCATTTCGTTCGGCCGCTGACGACGGTCTTCGTCCACTGACGAGCCGGCCGGTTAATTGGACGTACGGTGCTGACACCTGGCACCCGAGCCAATCAATGAGAGCTGAGCGGGCGCCGGCGTTCCCTCGCCACCCCGACCGCTCCCGGACGACGACGGCGGCGGCGGCGGCGCCGGCTCCCACGGCCGTGACCCGTGAGGTCAGCCCGGCAGCGGCACGGCTGACCCGGCCCGCGTGCGCCGCCTCGGCTAATCGCCGCCACATGGGAAGCGGCGCCTGCAAGCCGGCGACCTTTGGGCCGGCGGGCGCCGCAGCGGGCTGCCAGGTGCCTCGGCTGGACGGCGCGTGGACCTCGAGACAGCCGTCTGCCGGCGGCGGCTGCGACGCGCCCGGCGGACACTGGCCAGACGCCGGGCCGGGAGAGGCGCCTGGTCGGCTGTCTCCAACGGCGACGCAGCCGCCGCCGCCGCCGCCGCCGTCCCGCCGGCGGACACTCGGCAGCGGCGGGCGGCGGCCGACACGGGCCGACGGGCGGCCGCCGCTGCGCACGGCCCGATCCGCGCGCGGGCCGCACTCATGAGACTGCCGCCGTCCGCGCGCCGCGGCCGGTCGATCGCCCGCCGGTCCGGGCACGGCCGCCGACGCGCCCCGCCCGCCAGACTACGCCCGCCGCGCTGCGGAGGGCTCGTACGCGACGCAGGCGGGCGGCGGACATGGTGGTGGAGGTGGCTGGCGGTGCACGTGAAAACGGGTGCCGAGTGCGCGCCCGGTAATCACACCACGAACGGCGACACACATTCACAGTACCTGGACAAGGCCACCAACGTGCAGAGATGTGATTACCTTACATTCGCTCTGCCATGCTTCCATGGAACCACCGCATACTCCCCTCTCCCCCTCACCCCCAAGGCAGCCCCGGCGAGAACACTACATCCATCTCTCCTACAGCCGAGACGGGACCGCTGTATTCGTCCCACGTCGCTGGAACGAGGCCATTATATTTTCCACCATGCCACAGTAGCCCCCACCGTCACCCCGCATCGTTCCCAACGCCCAGGATCTGCGGCGCTCAAAACGCCCAGAGCGGTATACCAGATCACAGTCCACCCTGTCCCGCCGTGTTAAACAGACAGTTTCGTGACAGCCATGCAGTCGGCTTCAGCGAAGGCAGCACGGAATATGTCTTCCTTTACATAAATTGCTAACACTTCAATACCGGACGTGAAAGGTCGCGGGCGCCGGGCTGCACCCAATCACAGGCGCCACCGCACGCGAGCCCCGCCAGTGCCGACCCGTACCTTTGTGCCTTCTACGGAGATGATGCGGTGGAGATTGCGGGTGGAGTCGTAGAAGAAGGAGACGGAGACGGCCGACGCCGACGCCGGGATCCACGACCGCTTGGTCTTCGGGTCTATGTGGAACACGTGCGCCTTGCAGGAGAATATGGGCTGCTCCCTGGGGACAGGACAAGCCGTGCGTGACGTCAGCGTCACGCCGTCACGGCGGCCGGAGAGGACGCGACGGCCGCCGCCGGTTATAAATACGGAGGGCGGGATCCATACCTGAGAGCGAACGCCGAGCGAGCGGCAATCGATGGCGGCATGGGCCGGCCGGCCGGCGGCCAGCCATCGACCGCGTCAATAGACGGCCCGCCACGCGGCGGCGGCCGCGGCGCCGCGCGCGGTCACGCCCCGTCCGCGCTTCCACTCTCCCGCAGCCGCCGCCGCCGCCGCCGCCGCCGCCGCCGCCGCCGCCGCCTCCTCCTCCTCCGCCGCTGCCGCCCGAGCCGCGCCGCCCGCGTACCGGGCGGGCCCGCCCGCGGCGCCGGCAGCCGGGTCATGGCGGGGTCACGGCGGACGCGCGTGACGCCGGAGGCGAGCGCCGACAGGTGTGACGCGGGGATTACCGGAAGGTCCGTTTGGCGGGGACGTCCACTGGGGCTATATGACGTGGGACACGGGGTCTCATCACCGACACGACTGTCCAACGTGGAGGTTCCACACGGGGATCACTGTGATGGAGCCTCCGGCAATCGCCGCTGAGGCCGGGGCGGCCGGTCCCTCTGACATGGGAATACTCGACGCAGTGGGCCGCAGACGACAAATGCATCCGGCGACCCCGATAACTTGGACACCTTCCTCACACCGTAGCGCATCCACCTGAACGGCCGCATCGGGATGATGACTGACAGTCTTGAGAACGTTTGCAGCTGCTCTAGGGACGGAAGCCTGACGCTGGCGTCCATGAAAAGTTACGCCGCCCATGCGATGGACGTATATAAGCCACATTTAGCGGCTATTTCCACTTACCGAGCCTCACGATTCAAGACCATAGGGCGAACCAACGCATCCGGATTCCAGCACAGTTGTGTTCAAAATACCAGCCTCCCATGCCGCGTACGTGTTTCACAGACGGCCATCGGGAAACCGTCGAACCCGGTGACTTTTGAGCCCAGACAGCTGCGTAAAGTTGATAGATATGCCGACCAAAGCCTCACACCTAACTCTTCGTCACACGCTGCAAACTTACCAAAAACTGCATGCTAACTCGGTACAGCCGACGTGGGTTGAGCACATCGGGCCGCGGCCAAATGTTGATCCTAAGCGAATTTTAGCCACCGTGTTTTGTCGACTAAGATAATGGAATTGTGCATTAGTTACATTTAGTCGCTACAAAAAGGTGACCAATTCAAGTTAAACAAGATAAAAAAAATGATAAAAACCGCATGCTGTCGACTAAGATAATGGCATTGTGCATTAATTACATTTAGTCGCTGCAAAAAAGTGATCAATTACGTGCTTATCGTTACATTTCGGACATATGAAACATGTCAAAATGACTTCCGGCCTCCAGTCATGTACGGGTTATCTTACATCTAACATGCATGCTAACTCAGCAAAGCCGCCATAGATCGAGCACACTGGGGCACGGCTAACTGTTGCTTCCTTATTGGATTTGGGCCACTTTATTTTGCCCACTGGCCATGAGACAACAAAGGTCAATGGTATGCTCCCCAAGACAAAGAAAAATCAGGGACCCTCACGGCATGGCTTTCGGATATTCAGTGCGAAACTCGAATCTTGCTCCATTGGCCGCGACTGTAACCTATTGCATTACCTCTGGAGCATTGTGCCGTGTACTGATGTCGGGTGTCGGGCGGGTCCGTGGCCGGCACCCCCCATCAGTCGCCGAGACGGCCAGACTACCCAGCCATTAGTTGCAAGACATTACAACCACTTAGCCGGCGGCCAGTCATATATTATCACCATTAGTTCTAGCAGTCAGCCTCATGTGCTGGGAAGCATGGACTCCTTCTCAACGCCCCCAGACAATTAGAGCCGTCCGTCGCACGAGCGCCGACAGCGTGGAGCCGTCCAGCAGGCTCGCGCTCGGCGCCTGGCTCCCGGCTGGTTCGGCCTCCGCTGCATTTTGCGGGCCAACCCTTCACACACCGGTCAGGAAAGAGCGCCATGGGTTGGCCCGGTCGGCGGCGAGGCACGTTTCCGTTACAAGAGCGCAACTTGCTCGCCTACGTCTTTTCGACGCTAGTGTCAATCCAATGAACTGGGCTTCGCCGCCCCCGTCCATCCGACCCATAGGCGTCATGGGTGGGGGGCCGCATGCAATTATCAAATCGCCCAACGAGAGTTTGTCGTGTAGGCGAACCAAACCACATGAGAGAGCACGTTCAGGACGCGTCATCCCCCCCTCCCCTCCCCTCCCTGGCATCGTCTGAGCGGCCCAACGCCATCTCACCAGTCCCGTCCCCCGTCGACCTCGGCCCTAACGACGCCTGACACCGGCAGCATACCCGACCGAATGGAGCGGCCACACCGAGGCGTCATCAATCGATTCGGCGGGGGGCTGCGGCAGGCGGCGGCCATTCAGTCCGGTAACGGCGGCGGATCATCGGACCAGCTGGGCCGGGCCGCGCCACGGCCGGGGGGACGTCAGGAGCGGGCGGAGCGCGGAGGTGGACGGCGGCCAGCGCGGCGGCCGGCGGCGCACATGACCCGGAGCCGGGCCGGCGGCGCCGCTGCGGCCCGCGGCCAGGCCCGACCCGCTCCGCGCGCCGGCCGCAGACGCCGACGTCCGCTCCGTCAGCGGACGTCACGGCCAGGTGATGACGAGTGGCCGCGACCGCAGGGCGTCGCCGCGGTGAACACAGCGGCCCGTGACGCGCTCACACCGTCCGCCGGCTCGCGCGGCGCCGAGCGGATCGGCACGGCGCCGGCAGCCAGCGCCGGGCTACTTAGCTCGCCCGCACTCAGCTGACCGTCTAATGCGCCGCAAACAGGGTACGCTGTGGTCAAGACATGCTCACATGCGCTTACTTTTCGGGTTTTAACGCTCCATGATTACTGATCACCCAATATAACCACGTGTACGAATACTCGCGAAGGCAGGACCGTGACCTAACTAAAATACTATAGGTGCACCAGAATAGCATTCGCCGTGATGGCCTCAAGACCACGACGAAGCCATCTGCCAGCAGTGACAGGGAGTTGCGCCATAGCAACTGTGGCTAAGGTGGGTCGTGCCAAAGCGACTACGGCTGCGCTGCAATACGTCGCCTACCGTCTGTGGCCCAGCGTTTGTGGCTGAGCAGGAGGCCGTAACTTACCGTCTGCGACTGAGCAGGGGCCTGTGACCTACCGTCTACGACTGAGCAGGGGCCTGTGGCCTACCGTCTGCGACTGAGCAGGGGGCTGTGACCTACCGTCTACGACTGAGCAGGGGCCTGTGACCTACCGTCTGCGGCTGAGCAGGGGGCTGTGGCCTACCGTCTGCGACTGAGCAGGGGCCTGTGACCTACCGTCTACGACTGAGCAGGGGCCTGTGACCTACCGTCTGCGGCTGAGCAGGGGGCTGTGACCTACCGTCTGCGGCTGAGTAGGGACTGTGGCCTACCGTCTACGACTGAGCAGGGGCCTGTGACCTACCGTCTACGACTGAGCAGGGGCCTGTGACCTACCGTCTGCGGCTGAGCAGGGACTGTGACCTACCGTCTGCGGCTGAGCAGGGGCCTGTGGCCTACCGTCTACGACTGAGCAGGGGCCTGTGGCCTACCGTCTACGACTGAGCAGGGGCCTGTGACCTACCGTCTGCGACTGAGCAGGGACTGTGACCTACCGTCTACGACTGAGCAGGGACCTGTGACCTAACATCTGCGACTGAGCAGGGGGCTGTGGCTTACCGTCTACGGCTGAGCAGGGGGCTGCAGGCGGGCGGCGGCTGCAGCGGCGGCTCCGACATGCCACCGGCCACATGTCGACACCGACTGGCCGGCGGCGGCTGCGCGGCCGCGTCGAACCGTTGCGGCGGCCGACCCCTCCCCCCCCCCCCCCCCCCCCACCGCAGTCTCGCCGCCGCACGGAGCCACAGACGGCGGGCCGGCCGGCGCTGCCGCTTCCACGGTGCGCACACGAGGTCAGACGAGCGGCGACCATTGCTGCCGCGGGCGCCCCGCGAGACACCTCCGGACGGGCTTTCCCGCCCAAACGACCCGAGCAACGGACGTGCAGGGCTGGCGGCGGAGCCTCCGCGCGGCACGGCGGGCCGGGCCGACCCAGCAGCGGCCGACCCCGCAGCGCCGGCGCCAACACCGGGCCGACCCAGCAGCGCCGCCGCCAACACCGGGCCGACCCAACACCGGGCCGACCCAGCAGCGCCGCCGCCAACACCGAGCCAACCCAACAGCGCCGGCGCCGACACCGGGCCGACCCGGCAGCGCCAGCGCCGACACCGGACCGACCCAGCAGCGCCGCCGCCGACACCGGGCCGACCCGGCAGCGCCGGCGCCGACACCGGGCCGACCCGGCAGCGCCGCCGCCGACACCGGGCGCGGTCGGGGGCCTATCGAGCGCCGGCGGGCCGCGCTCTGCCGCCGCCGCCCGCCGGCGCTCAAGTGTCATCCACACGGATCATTCCGAACTAGCGCCGCGATAACGCTCTCAAGGATGAGCCGCGCCCGCTTTTAAGAGCGCCCGGCTCGTGTGGCGGAATTATGGCGGGCCGCCGCCGAAAGCTCTTTTCGAACAGGCCTCTCGAGCCCAAACGACCAATCCGGCAGTAAGAAGATTGGACCGCCATCGATAAGCAATTTGTTAGCACTTCGGCCTGGTGAGATGGCCACACTCGCCGCCGGGCTTATATATGGCGAGGGAAATGTCGGGCGGAGTATTACCAGCTCATGTCACTGTTGCTGGAGTCGTCGCCCGGGTCAATGTCATCATTCCCAGAGCTCTGACGGACAGTACATCCCGCACCATGCTCGGTTTCCACGGCTTTGGACACAGGGGGCACGAGATGCGTCCACCCACAGATACAGTTGCTAGCGAAAAACACCGCAGTGCGTGGGCGCCAGGCCACCAGAATACAGCTCAGAGCCAGTGTCCGATTATCGTCGCATCGGTCCATCCACACCCCGATAACCTTTCATCCGGCGGCGCTCC